AAGTACCCTTTATTGTATTACGGACCCAAAGAGCTGAGCGTCCATTCCCATTGGATAACAGAGCATTTTACACCCGGAAGTAAGTATTCTCCTTACTGTCCATTGATTTTATTTACAGTGATATCTGCACTACTCATCAACTCAAAAACACCAGATTATCCTTGTTAATTACACAACATTGATTGGTTTAAATTGTGTACAATGCTTTTGTATTTTCCCCTTTCGATTCGGAGAAACAAATATGTTTTCGGAGTGTGTGGATGGTAGAAGACACTACACTACCCAGAATCCTCAGCTATTGTTCCGCTTTGCCTCAAGCTCTGTGATTGGTTGACCTCCAACTGCATTCCAATGAAAAAAACGTTTCGTCAAAGATCAAATCATACTTTATTCAGCAGTGCTTGCTTTACTCTTTGAAAGTCATCACATGAATGCATTGTAATGAATGGTTTGGCTGCATTAAACATTACACATCTGTCGTAGTTCTTTATTTATCTACAGAGATCGGGCCTCAGAATGGACCGGAAACTATTCTTTTACCGTTCTATTTTAATTTCACAATAAAGTTAGTAGTAATAATTTGTTTTGATATTATTGTTTTTTATTAACTACTAGACCGCTGGGTCATGTTAAGACCATCTTTTCTGTGTTGCTGTGGGTTTTTTACATCGCTTTTGTGTTACAAATATCAAAACAATAACAGAATATATCCGTCGTAAACTAAACCAGAAACAGCAGTATATTTTATTTTGTTAACACTGTAAACTTGACAGCTTTTTAACCCGCACCTCCTACTGGTTAAAGCACGTTATTACACGTTTAGAGTAATGCAATGCAGGTAGATTGGGTTGCTTTTTATTGACTGTTTTAAAATGCCTTTTTCTTAATGTCTTTCATTTTTGTAAAGCACTTTTGAATGTGTTATATTTGATGAAAACATTTCAATATTAAGAGTACATACTCTTAATATAGTGGGAAAGTGGAAGGTCAATGATATAAATAATATAGAATAGAAAATATCAAGAAGATACTGTAAGTGATCTCTACAATAAAACAGTTTAGTGCCTGATAGGAGGATGTGCAAAACAGACAAACTTATAAGGCTTTATTTAAACATTAAAGAATACTTTAGGTTAAGGTCGTCTTTTAAATAAGAAAAAAGCTTTGGGGGTATCTACAGATATTAAGCCTGACAAAGTACTTAACGTCTAATATATTGCATGGTTTGTTTTGGAACTTGACAATCAACTTTCCTTCAATGTTAACTATGTTGAAGCACTTATTTTAACTGATATTATACATATTAATTATACTCTTATAAGATGTATGTAGATAGTATAAGAAATGTGCAGAATATGTTTAATGGTGGAGGTACACAGATATCGATAGATGTCTTGTGATGCACTGTTGAGGAACCTGTGACCCAAGTGTTTCATTCATTGCATAACTACACCGTAGTTGTGTATATGATATGTCAATAAACCTTAGAAAATCTTGAAATCTTGAAAGGGATGTGCAAAATAGCCATTATATACAGTTTTTAATGAACTATTAGTAGAGAATAACGAGTAATGAATATGCTTTAGGGATCTGCAGATACATATTTAGTCTTCTCAAGCACCCACTACCAAATATCTCGCCTGATTGTTGGCTGAATTCACTGAATTTTACTCCGGTGTAACTAAAGTCTGATTTAAGGGTTGTTTATATTTCACATCATTAATCCAAATCTGTAAAGTAACTAAAATAAATGTAGTGGAGTAAAAATACCAGGTTAACCTTAAAGAAAGCCCTCAGGATTATAAAAGACCCCCATCACCCCACAAACTGTTCTGTCTGCTGCCGTCTGGCAGGCGGTACCGCAGCATCCGGACTAAAACCCACCAGACTCAGGGACAGTTTCATCCCACAGGCCATAAGACTATTAAACACCTGAACTTAGAAACAACATCCATAACATTCATCTGGCTGCTACTTAGAAATTATTTATCTAATATATCATATTCCAATCACTTGTATATAGACTCTTATTGCACTATTTCACTTTTTACTATTTTACTATTTTTCTTTTTGTATTTACTTGCACTATTTGTTCTGTGTAGCCTATCTGTTTTATTGTGTTGCACTGTTGGAGGAGCCTGTGACCTAAGGGGGGGGGTAGGACACGTTCTAAGCACATGGTGTAGTCCTATAGCTGAGGATTCTGGGTAGTGTAGTGCCTTCTGCCATCCACACACTACGAACAAATATTTGTTTCTCCGAATCGAAAGGGGAAAATACAAAAGCATTGCACACAATTTAAACCAATCAATGTTGTGTAATTAACAAGGATAATCTGGTGTTTTTGAGTTGATGAGTAGTGCAGATATCACTGTAAATAAAATCAATGGACAGTAAGGAGAATACTTACTTCCGGGTGTAAAATGCTCTGTTATCCAATGGGAATGGACGCTCAGCTCTTTGGGTCCGTAATACAATAAAGGGGACTTAATCAAATAGGAATATAATTATCTTTTAAATAACGTTAACTAAAGGGAACAATCTCTTTGACACAGCTGAAGCTCTGGCCTTCCTTAAAAACGAACTAATTTAATAAAAATCACAGTTGTATTACACACAATGCATTGTTTTTTGAGAACAAACATTGGTGAATAATGCACCATAATACATTCTGACGAAAAATAAAAATGATTATGAATACAAATAAAATAAAAGAAGCCTCCTGTGAGTTACTACAAGCTATACAGTAGATTTTAAAAACGTTTTATAGAATAAAAGCTCACTGCTGGACGTTGTAGAAATGCGTGTGTGCACCACGACAAAGGAGCCTCATTCACTTTACATTGGGGTTGTTTGCGTGGTGCAGACACGTAAATGTAGCAAAGTTCGTGACTCCACCACGCAATGCGGTGTTAAGGAGTCGTGGTGGAGTCACGCATTCTGGTGAGACCAGGTTGCACACACACACACACACACACACACACACACACACACACACACACACATATATGTATATATTTATATAAATATATACAATTTCAGAATCAAACAGAGCACTCTCATAATAACGTAACACTATCAGAGACTGGATATATCCCCCCCCCTCTCTGGTCGCTACAATGAGGGAAATAAATGACGGGCCAAAAGTTTTATTTACAAGTATTACAAGTAAGCAGAGGACACCAAACCAACTGAGACCTGTCTGTCCGCTGCATCTACGCACACACTGTACCACACACACCTACACCACACACACGCACCTACAGCTCCTAAAGCATATAATCAGGCTACAGCCGTTGTGTATTTTATTATGTGAAGCACTAAATGGTTTTAGAAAAATATCGACTTTGTTTGTAGATATCTACTAAACTAAAGCAAATAAAGAGAGTAGGCCTGTTATACTGAGTGATATGATATATATTATACACACTGCTCTGCTTTCTGCACGGACCTCACAGCTGTTCTCACTGTAAACATCGCGTCGCGATGAAAGCAGTTAATAAAATAATATCCAGGGGATGCATGCAGAGCTGTCATTGGCTGAGATAAGTCCGGCCGTGCGTCTCGACTCTTTGAAACATCACTGTTGCCGGAAATGCATCCACGAAGGAGCCGTGGAGGACCCATCAGTGTATCCTCGGTTATAGCTCCTCCAGAGAGCCTCCTCGACGCTCGATGCTCGGTCCTCGATGTGCATTTCGAGAAATGAGATGTCCTTCAACATGGCGCGCTAAAATTCATTTCCGGGTCACTACCGGAGGACCGAGGAGTCGAGGAGTCGAGGATGGACATTTGATGACATGAGAAAGGGCCAGTGTCTCCACATTCATTCTCATTCACACACACACACACACACACACACACACACACACACACACACACACACACACACACACACACACACACACACACACACACACACACACACACACACACACACACACACACACACACACACACACACACACTTTGTATTGTATTATTGTATGAGAGAGGTTCCAGGTTGAATTGAGGCAAATATTTGTAATGTTCAGAGGTTGTTGTGTTTAATATTCATGAGGATATTTGTCATTGTTCAAATGATAATAAACAAACATATACAGCATATTTGTCCACTCATATGTTGATAAGAGTATTAAAAACTTGAAAAATATCCCTCTAAGGTACATTTAGAACAGATAAAAAATGTGCGATTAATTTGCGATTAATCGCGATTAACTATAGACAATCATGCGATTAATCGCGATTAAATATTTTAATCGACTGACGGCCCTAATAAAAATATGAAAATATAAAACCATGATGATACATACGATGCAAAAACTGGGTTGTATCACATACATGTATATTAAAACATATCATTTATTCTATTTCAAGAAATATATATATTTTTGACTGTGATTAAATTCCATTCAAATTCAAATGATTCAAAATTCTCAGAAAAATGAAAAAAAATAATGTATAGGTCAATATATATATATTTTTTTTGATGAAAGTCGTTACCCCTAAGTAGCTTTGTTTATTTAATAAGTTAGTAATTAAACATTAATATTTGAGTTTCCAGCAGAACTCAGTGTGAGATATTCTGGTGATCAATATGAAAAGAGGAGGTAAATAAAGGTGATCAATATGAAAAGGTAAATAAAGGTGATCAATATGAAAAGAGGAGGTAAATAAAGGTGATCAATATGAAAAGGTAAATAAAGGTGATCAATATGAAAAGAGGAGGTAAATAAAGGTGATCAATATGAAAAGGTAAATAAAGGTGATCAATATGAAAAGAGGAGGTAAATAAAGGTGATCAATATGAAAAGGTAAATAAAGGTGATCAATATGAAAAGGTAAATAAAGGTGATCAATATGAAAAGGTAAATAAAGGTGATCAATATGGAAAGGTAAATAAAGGTGATCAATATGAAAAGGTAAATAAAGGTGATCAATATGGAAAGAGTAGGTAAATAAAGGTGATCAATAAGAAAAGGTAAATAAAGGTGATCAATATGGAAAGGTAAATAAAGGTGATCAATATGGAAAGGTAAATAAAGGTGATCAATATGGAAAGGTAAATATAGGTGATCAATATGAAAAGGGTAGGTAAATAAAGGTGATCAATATGAAAAGGTAAATATAGGTGATCAATATGAAAAGGTAACTAAAGGTGATCAATATGAAAAGGTAAATAAAGGTGATCAATATGAAAAGGTAACTAAAGGTGATCAATATGGAAAGGTAAATAAAGGTGATCAATATGGAAAGGTAACTAAAGGTGATCAATATGGAAAGGTAAATAAAGGTGATCAATATGAAAAGGTAAATAAAGGTGATCAATATGAAAAGGTAAATAAAGGTGATCAATATGGAAAGGTAAATAAAGGTGATCAATATGAAAAGGTAAATAAAGGTGATCAATATGAAAAGGTAAATAAAGGTGATCAATATGAAAAGGTAACTAAAGGTGATCAATATGGAAAGGTAACTAAAGGAAGTATTGACTGGTTTCTAAATGTGATTGAGTTTGTAAGTGAAAGTGTCTCTGATGGAAATTACTTTAGATCAATGGAAACCCAAAGGTAATGTTTGAGCGTCACTAAATGTTCCTAACAACACAGAACTGTATTATTCCCAGTCGTCATGGTAACGTCATCAGTTGCCGGGCAGATTTCACCTCAACAGGTTTCTGAAGCAGGAGCTCTGAGAACAGCTGAGTGCAGCGACACACACTGATAACACACACATTACAGAGATCAATACATCACTCAGAGTTACTTTATTTTGTTACATGTTCCTCCATTAGAGAACATTTCCATTTGTTTCTTTTTAGAAAGCAGTAAACCATTAGATCTTTAGTTTCACATCAAATCCACTTTCCTCTAGTGTCTGAGACGCTAGTAGAAACCAATAAATGTGTTGTTGGAAAGACGAGAAGACGGACATTTTGGAGATGGGTTTTTATTGGAAAGTGAAACACGGACAGGAAAGGGTTAACAATGCAGAGCGACTTCATGTCACGCTCACCTCTGAACCCCAAACTAAAGAGAACGCCACAGTCCGCTGGCTCTGTACACAAAACCTCCCTGTCCCTAAATCATAGCAACATTATCAAAATCACACACTATTATGTTTTAAAACCAATTCAAGAGACATGTTATAAATAAAGACACTTCTGATTCATTTAGAAAAGCTCAGAAAGGGAAATCAATATCACTCGCTGCTACCTGTGTGTGTGTGTGAGTGTGTGTGTGTGTGTGTGTGTGTGTGTGTGTGTGTGTGTGTGTGTGTGTGTGTGTGTGTGTGTGTCTGTCTGTGTGTGTGTGTGTGTGTGTGTGTGTGCATGTGTGTGTGTGTGTGTGTGTGTGTGTGTGTGTGTGTGTGTGTGTATGTGTGTGTGTGTGTGTGTGTGTGTGTGTGTGTGTGTCTGTCTGTGTGTGTGTGTGTGTGTGTGTGCATGTGTGTGTGTGTGTGTGTGTCTGTGTGTGTGTGTGTGTGTGTGTGTGTGTGTGTATGTGTGTGTGTGTGTGTGTAACTAGAGAACACAAACTTCTCTTAACACCACTCATGCCCCTTTTCCACCAAACCGGTTGCAGGGCCAAAAAAACACACTTTATAAAGTGAGGCAACACTAACCAGGCTTCGTGTGATTCTGTTTATTTGTACCTTACTTTGACCATCTGTTCGCTGTTATTGATCATTGTGGAGAGCAGGCAGACATTTTGGTTTGTATTATAGCAGCTATCGGATGTGTTGTGTTAAAAATTCAAGGAAAGACAGACGACTTCTAAGTTTAACTATTTATTATGAGAAAGCAAAAGATATATATTCACTTGGCCAAGGACTCCGTCACGTCATAGAAATCACAGGCAGCAAAGCTGTAATCTGTATTTCCGGACATGAGCCTCGAACCTCGTGCGTGCATACATTTTATTACACAGGGCGTTGCCCGTACATTTATGATTGGTCAAGACTAGCTGAAGAGATACCGTGGTTTAGACTTGGTTCTCTTTGGTTGGTGCACAGACTCAGATAGAGTCTCTTGGCAACACAATCCTCCAATCAGCATTCGGCCGGCCTGTGGAAGTCCCTCCCTACTCTGGCTCCATCATACGTCATTTGTTTTTTCTGAAGCTTTCTGCAGATATAGTGGAATCTTCATAAGGCTGCTTCCTAGCTGTGTGTGGGAGTGAAGCTCCCCCAAAGCTCAAGGCCAGAGTGATGTCCTGTTTATGAATAACTCTTTGTATTCTTCCAGTGTCTGCACCTGACCTTGCTACTCTGTATTGCAGGCTAAAGACGTCTATTTATTCCAAAGTCACAGCCACATAAATGAGCACAATAAGCTTATAATGTAATAATCAGTCTTTCTAATGTTATATAAAAATAGCCTCCACAGATGGAATCAATTCTAAACAACTAAACTCTGCCGTGAGTTAACGGGAGACTAAACTCTGCCGTGAGTTAACGGGAGACTAAACTCTGCCTTGAGTTAACGGGAGACTAAACTCTGCCGTGAGTTAACGGGAGACTAAACCCTGCCGTGAGTTAACGGGAGACTAAACTCTGCCGTGAGTTAACGGGAGAATAAACTCTGCCGTGAGTTAACGGGAGAATAAACTCTGCCGTGAGTTAACGGGAGAATAAACTCTGCCGTGAGTTAACGGGAGACTAAACTCTGCCGTGAGTTAATGGGAGACTAAACTCTGCCGTGAGTTAACGGGAGACTAAACTCTGCCGTGAGTTAACGGGAGAATAAACTCTGCCGTGAGTTAACGGGAGAATAAACTCTGCCGTGAGTTAACGGGAGACTAAACTCTGCCGTGAGTTAATGGGAGACTAAACTCTGCCGTGAGTTAACGGGAGACTAAACTCTGCCGTGAGTTAACGGGAGACTAAACTCTGCCGTGAGTTAACGGGAGACTAAACTCTGCCGTGAGTTAACGGGAGAATAAACTCTGCCGTGAGTTAACGGGAGACTAAACTCTGCCGTGAGTTAACGGGAGACTAAACTCTGCCGTGAGTTAACGGGAGACTAAACTCTGCCGTGAGTTAATGGGAGACTAAACTCTGCCGTGAGTTAATGGGAGACTAAACTCTGCCGTGAGTTAACGGGAGAATAAACTCTGCCGTGAGTTAACGGGAGAATAAACTCTGCCGTGAGTTAACGGGAGACTAAACTCTGCCGTGAGTTAATGGGAGACTAAACTCTGCCGTGAGTTAACGGGAGACTAAACTCTGCCGTGAGTTAACGGGAGACTAAACTCTGCCGTGAGTTAACGGGAGACTAAACTCTGCCGTGAGTTAACGGGAGAATAAACTCTGCCGTGAGTTAACGGGAGACTAAACTCTGCCGTGAGTTAACGGGAGACTAAACTCTGCCGTGAGTTAACGGGAGACTAAACTCTGCCTTGAGTTAAAGGGAGACTAAACCCTGCCGTGAGTTAACGGGAGACTAAACTCTGCCGTGAGTTAACGGGAGACTAAACTCTGCCGTGAGTTAAAGGGAGACTAAACCCTGCCGTGAGTTAACGGGAGACTAAACCCTGCCGTGAGTTAACGGGAGACTAAACTCTGCCATGAGTTAACGGGAGAATAAACTCTGCCGTGAGTTAAAACCTGTTCCACTCTGAGCCTGTTTTTCAGGTCTCAGGCTCGAAAATGACATTCCCAGAACAAATGACCATATCTTCCCTTCTAAAAGGGTTAAATTAATAATCTTTGTTCTCAAAGTAATGATAAACCTGTGAGTTGGATGTAGAAGTGTCAGAATCAATATAAATGTTTTTTATTTTAAAGAAAATTCAGATTTTACATAGTAAAAAACTGTAAATTATAGTGTCCGTCCAAAAATTATTTTTTACAGATAGTGAAAACTACCCTTGGATGATGGGTTAGTAGACTAAAAGCTTTAGGAATCCAAAGTACAACATGTAATAAGTACCCTGTATCAAGATTGATGCAAAACAAGTGAAATTTGACCTTTTTAGAGAGGTTTAGCCAAAAACTGGGCCATCTGGGGTCATTTGGGTGGATTTGACCTATCTCTGGCCCCCCTTGCTCGATTTGGTTGGTTGACATACCCTTGTGACCGTTAGAGCCAATAGAATCGAAGGGGGAGGCTCCCAGCCAGACACGTTGTAAAGAAAAAATGTGGTTGCTTCGCGTGTGGAAAACGAAACCAAACTGGAGGAATGTCTCCTTCTGGAGTTTGGAAACTAAAACGCAGTTGTATTGCTTATGGATTATCAGAAATAATTTCAAAGAAGGCACAGACACATAGGATGAACCTATGGATTAACTGCAGCATCGTTTTTTTATCGTTTTAATGCCATTGAAGACCACTTTTGACCAAGGTAAGCCATATTTACGTGTTTAGCTTCTTAGCTCCACATGTGATGATGTACGCTTTCGTTTAGAGCGTCGCGAATGTTTATCACTGAGTGTTGAGGAGGGCACCGGTAGATTCAGTGTCTCCAGGACACCAAAAAAGAGTGGTTGGTTGTGCATCTAGGATAAGTAATAAGGGAGTTAGAGTGAGTTTAGTTGCCTTAGTATGTTACGTTTTTTTCGCTTGAGGCTAATTCAGAGGCTGAGTGCTAGCAATGTGGGTTTTTTTTGAAAAAAAAAATTAAAAAGATCAGTTAGCTGAGTTTCTTCCCGTTACATGGATATAACACATTCATAGTTTTATTCAATATTAAGATTCCTTAGACGTTGTTTCCTGCAAATGACGCGTTTATCCGCCCGGTACCGGGGGGAAGGTGTGAAACAGGTTAACGGGAGACTAAACTCTGCCGTGAGTTAAAGGGAGACTAAACTCTGCCTTGAGTTAAAGGGAGACTAAACTCTGCCGTGAGTTAACGGGAGACTAAACTCTGCCTTGAGTTAACGGGAGACTAAACTCTGCCTTGAGTTAACGGGAAACTAAACTCTGCCTTGAGTTAACGGGAGACTAAACTCTGCCGTGAGTTAACGGGAGACTAAACTCTGCCTTGAGTTAACGGGAGACTAAACTCTGCAGTGAGTTAACGGGAGACTAAACTCTGCCTTGAGTTAACGGGAGACTAAACTCTGCAGTGAGTTAACGGGAGACTAAACTCTGCCGTGAGTTAACGGGAGACTAAACTCTGCTGTGAGTTATGTCATGTTCAAAATTCCTCTGTGAAGCAAGGAGTCGGACCAGGCAATCAGGTTATAATAAAACTGATTTATTTCAGTTGTGATAAGGAATACAAAAGCTCAGCTGAGGTTTCTGGAGATCAGTGTTCCACAGGCCGCGAGCAGTTTTCACTCCAAGCAGTTAACTGTCTAACATTTCCTTCCAGAGCCCCGGAAACTGGCAAAACACATTTCATATACTTATTACAGAATAAAGGTGTCATATTATGATTGGATATGTGTATTTCTGAGTGAGGTGCTGTCGATTGTTGATTGGAGTACAGGCGAGCCTACGCCTCTTGGCTTCGCCCAGGTCCAGTCTTCTTCCCACGGTCATCATGGCCCTACACTACACTGACTGTCTGTTTCTCCTGTCACGTGCTAAGCTCTGAACTGCTCGTGCCTGGCACGGTGCCCTCTCCTGAACCTCAGCAAATAAATCTAAAAAAAGTAGCAGAAATGCAGATCCTTCCTTATGTTGTGCTCACCATTAACACTGTCATGAAGCTCACTTCTCTTCATAGTTTCAGACCTTCTGGTAGCACATTATTCATAAACATTTCTTTATGAGCAAGCAATAATATTCTTCAATCCCTCCTTTCACGTAATTTAATATTTGCACGTGATGGATTATGAAATGCATAATCTGTGACACTGTGAATAAATGTAAAATATAAAAGTATAAACGTATAAATGTATATAAAAGTGTAAAAGCAGAGTTATAGTTTTCTGGTAGTGCTCTTGACTTCACAGTGCCATGCCTAATCATTTATAGTATGAAAATGTCCCTCCTTTCACACCTTTTAAGGGGTGAACAATACTTTCCATACTATATTTTCAGTGTAGTGACTATTTTGAATTCTAAGGGACTGAGGCTGACTCTAACCTGCAGGGTTTCAATTGTACCTTTTATTGTCCCTCTCTTTTATTCCCTAGAACCTAATTTTAAGATGAGTCTTCTAGTACTCCAAATAATCGTTGAGGGGGTTTTGGAGTCGGGCCAGAGCCCCTGGGGGTAGGTTGGTGAGGGAGATTACTCCAGGGGTACTTGTTGTGGGTCCAGAGATTATAAATCTTCCTCTGGTTCACTATCATCGTTCTCTGCCAACAAGGGCATTTGATAAGGGGGCGGGACATCAGATTCAGTTTGTTTGGCCAGGGCTGTGGTTATTAATCTCTCAGTCAGGGTGCGGATACAAGGGATGCAACAACATCCACACATCACTAATATGACTATCCCTAGGGTCAATGAAACGCAAACTGACATTACCAGTGTTTTCCACTTCCCAAAGTATTTTCCCACATATCTCCAAACATTTTGCCTACTCCTGCATTCTCGGCCAGTTCTACACTGAGGGAAGTTAACCCAGCTAGGGCTCTGGTTACAGACCCTTCTGGGGCGGTTTGCCTGTCTTTTTGGGAAAGCTCATCCATCGCCTTGTTCGATTTAGATTGGGGTCTGGTCACATTCAATCGGGGTGTTATGGTTACATTTTGGTCTGGGCCTTTTAACTTAATTCTTCTAGGCTGGGGGAATTCAGGACGTCTGCCTGTCGTTGTTCGCGTCTCGTATTGTTCAGACTTGGTTCGAGTAGGCGAGATTCTGTCTGGCGTTCTTCCTTTTTAAATTGTTTGGTCAGCATTTCTGTTATGGTCTGTACCTGTTTGTCTAGTGACTGGATCTGTGCTGTGAGGATGGGTACCGCTAGGCCTGCCTTACTGGGCTGTACTTCCATGCGGCCTTTCGTAATGTTGAGTGTTTTTGTTCTCGGTCCGGGGATCAGCGAGTGCTGGGGCCTGGATCGATGCTGCGAACGGTAGGGCTGCACGACATATCGTGTTGTGACGATAATCGCGATATGCGCATGCACGTGCGATATTAAGTAGGCAAATGAACTCAAACACGTCGAGTTACAATTCTTTTGCTGCTTGCTACAAAAGGAAAACTGGCGCGGCTCTCATGTCAGGGGTACTTGAGTGAGTGACAGCAAACCACCAATCACAATCAAATCTCCAAAGCAAACGGACCCGATGATTAAAGGTAAAAACACAGAATAAAGTAGTTTCATGTGTTTCTCCAGGGCAGTTCGGCGCTGCTAACCGAGCTAGCTCACCTTGTTGCTCTGATAACTTAAGATACAGACGTCCGTGACTAAAATCCTTCATTCGGTTAAATATAGTTCGAAAAATACCAATTGTATAGCATTAAAGTTCAAGAAAGGATAGTTTGCGGACAAACAAAACGGTCTCTCTTCAATTCCTGTATTTTTTCATATCGCAATATATATATATATATATATATATATATATATATATATATATATCGCAGGGGGAAAAAGTATCGCAGTGTCAGTTTTTTCCAATATCGTGCAGCCCCCTGGATAGGGGGGTGGTTTTGTAGCCAGTAACGGGTACAGTTGGGCAGTGGGCGTTGAGGTCTCTGGGGCTTGTTGCTCATCCCTATTAGGGTCGGTTAATGGGGCCTTTTCTTCTGTGGTGGTGACCGGAAACATTGTTGTGTGAGCGACCAGGAGTCTTCCTAATCCGACTGTTATGTTCTTTCCCATTATTTGTTCTTTTTCGGCCTTCTCCAATCTTTTGTTTCTGCTCTTCCGGGTTTTCCATCCTTCTCCTGGTGGTACAATTTTTTCCAGGTTTACTCTATTCTGTAGTATCTTCATCAGATGTTTTCTTTGTTCAAGTGGGGGTGGGGCATCTGTTGATGGATTCAGTAGTCCTTCCTGTTGCCACTTTTTAACGTACTTGTCCACTCGTCTCCTCATTTTTTCTCTGTCTTTCTTGGGGGTGTGAGTATCCATTCTGTCTTTGAGGACTGTGAGCCAGTTGGGTGAGGAGGGAGCTGTCATATTTTTCACGTGCTGTACTTTATGGTGCTGGTGGTGACAAGTGGTTTGTAATCTTACATGTAGTACTCTTATGTAAATAGAACCTATGTTACTTCTAATATTTATTAAGTTGTGTTTCTGCACGTGCTGTTTGTAAATAGGATTTGAACTCTAATGCTGCAGCTGGAGAGGTTTGAGAGCAGATAAAGAGCTCTGTAACAACAGGTGGAGAGTTGATGTGAAGCCCCTCACTGTGCCGGCTGATTCAGTCTCTCAGTGAGCTCAGAGCTGGAGGCAGGAGAGGGAGTGTTTTTATTGGCTGAAAGGACAAGCAGAGAAAGTGTTTCAATCCACCGCCCCGTACACAACAAGGAACTAGACCACACTGATTATCCCTGTAGAAACACACCATATCTTTCCATATCCACATTACACTGAGCTCTGAGTTTGATCTGCTACCTCAAAGCCTTACATTAACAACCCTGAGAACTCATGAGACAAGGTTTCTGATTGGTCTCTCACCGTTCCTCTTCCTGTAAACCAGGAATCCAATCCCAGCGAGGAGGAGAGCGAGAGCAGCCACTACAGCACCGATGATGAAGAGGAGGAGGAGGGGATTCCCTGTGGAGCAGAAACAACAGGAAGTCTCAATCTGAACGGAGGAAGGAAGCTTCTTCAGGATGGGCATCAGGTCTGAGGCTCCTGAAGGGCCCCTTTCACCTCGTGGTGTCATGCTGGGTTTCGTCTTGAACCATTCTTAGTCTCTCTCCCCTGAGACCCATGTTTCAGGAGAGAGAGACTATGACATGTTGTCAGGGTCTGTTGATTGTTAGTAACCGTTGAGCCGTTGTGATGCAGTCTTACCTCTGTTGGTCCTGATCACAGCTGAGTCCAGTAAGATGACGTGGTCCTTCACCCCAGAGAGCCGGAACACACATCGGTACTTGTCCCAGTGTTCAGCGGGGAATGAGGAGACGTCCAGGTCCACGCTCATCTGGAAGGATCCGTCGTGGTTGGGCAGGATCTCTCCGTGGTCCACGTTGTCGTGAAGCTCCTCTCCGTCTCTGGTCCAGAACATGAGGGCTCTGTCCGGGTAGAAACCTGTAGCGTGGCAGCTGACTGGAGAGGAGGGGGACTTCTGGAGCAGAGACACTGAGGGGATCTCTGCACAAACACACTTTAGAGGTTATTGACTCACAGTGATATCACTACAGGGAGTTATGATGTACTGTGAGCATCACTGAAGGAGAACACAGAGTCAGTGTTTCAGAGAAATTGGTTAAATAAAGACTTTCTTCTCAGTTTTATATAATTTAATATCAAATACTGTTTAGTGTTGTTCAGATTAAAGAAGCTAGACTTTGGGAAATGTAGGTTTTTCTCAATTTCTTGACATTTCTTAACAATGTAAACTATTTAATTATTTATGTGAAAAATAGTCATTACTTAATCTATATTTACAAAAATATTAAATTTGATCACAAAATAAGTAGAAGAGCAACAGATTAGATTATCTTGAAAGTTAATTGTAACACTTCTGATATCAGTTTTTTTGAAATGTTGTGTTTTGGTCGGACATGAAAGGCTGCGTGCGATGAACACACAAATCTGAGTGTCTGTGACTCTACCTGTTCTCATCAGAAAGCTCCTCCCAAGGTTCGCATGATTCTTCATATAATCAGGACACTCCTGGGTGTAGTAGTTCTTGAAGTATGCCATTCTAGCTTTGTTATTATCCAACCTCTGTTTGCTGAGGACAGCCTGTGGTTTTGGAGCGATGTATGACTCTGTCTCCAGGTCCAGTATCAGGAAGTCTTCTCCATCAAAACCATGGTGATCATAACCTTTGACCTCACCAGTCTCATCATCCCAATCACAGCCGTACATCCTCTGGTCAATGTGGACACCTGAGAGAGAGAGAGAGAGAGAGAGAGAGAGAGAGAGAGAGAGAGAGAGAGAGAGAGAGAGAGAGAGAGAGAGAGAGAGAGAGAGAGAGAGAGCATAAAAAGCATTGACAACGTGTTTCTGCTTCATAAGTGACAGAAGCGTTTGTATAATTATCTAAATATTCAGCAATTATTTTCCTTATATTATTAAATCCTCACTCAATAACTTTTCTATGTTTAAAATCTGTACAAAATGAATATATTTCTCACAACATAGACCCCCGAAACCTTTAGTTTTTTTTTATTATTACCGCCACATATAACTATAATTATTTCTGCTGAAATTCTAAGATTTCCTAAATAATATTTAATATTTTGAATGATAAAGCCTGATTTGACCTTTAACCCTTTACCCCCTGCAGAACACTCTGAATATCACCAACAACAACAACTACTCGGTGCAAGTCGCTAACATCACGGCGCAGGTTCAGTTCGCAAAGACCGTCATCGGGAAATCACGAATCAGCAACACGACGGCCATCAGCCCTCTGGACATGAAGCAGGTGTGTGTGTGTGTGTGCGTGCGTGCGTGCGTGCGTGCATGCGTGTGTGTGTGCGTGCGTGTGTGTGTGTGTGTACAGGATGAAGATATAAACAACATATTATCAGTAGAAGGTGAAACATGAACTAACCTCCAGTTAGGTTGAGGCGCTGCTTTAAAGTTTCAATGTTGTCTTTGTGGACCTGCTGGGCACCCAGAAAGAGCTGAGTCTGCCTCTCCCAGAACTGAGGATCCTCTTCTGTGATTCTGTTCATCCAGTCCTGTCTGGGTTCTGCTCTCTTGGTGTTGCTGTCGTAGTGCATAATCTCAACTTCATCAACCAACCCAACCACGACAAACTCTGGGAAGTTTGGGACTCCAGAGGACGCGGTGTAGAAAAACTTCAGAGAGTGAGTCCCTGTTAGAGAACATAATGTAATAACTTCAGTCATTATGAAATTAACTGTTCTCTCTCTGCACACATCATCAACAAGTACAGCAAAGACATCCAAATCTATTTTTTACATTATATTCAAACAAAAACAAAAGTATAGACCAGGGGCGGCGGGTACTGTAGGCCAAGGAAGGCTAAGCCTTCCCAAATATTGTTGTCACTGCATCCTGGTCAAATTAAAATATAATGTATGTGTCTTTGACATTAGCGCTGCTATGCAGCCACCTGTGCCCTGTGTACTACGAAGCCAGTTCAACAGACCATGATATCTTTGAGTTATCTTAACTAACCCTAACAAAGAGATCTCACTAAACGGTCCTACGACGCTGGTTATCAACTCGGTAAATCAAGCCAGGGTTTCTCCGTCCAGCTGAGAGCGCGTTCACATGAAAGGGGCGGGGCTAGCAACATTTGACCAATCACAAACATGGACAAGCGTATGGAGAGCGGAACGTCATACTTCATGAATGAAAAGTAAACTATCACGTTAGACAAATATGAAGAAGTTAAACTTTAAACATCCATGACTTAACCTGTTAAGCCCTGAGCCTGTTTTCCAGGTTTCAGGCTCGAAAATGACATTCCCAGAACAAATGACTATATCTTCACTTCTAAAAGGGGTAAATTAATAATCTTTTTTCTCAAAGTAATGATAAACCTGTGAGTTGGATGTAGAAAATTCAGAATCAATATAGATGTTTTTATTTTAAAGTAAATTCAGATTGAACATAGTAAGAAAATGTAAATTATTGTGTCCGTCCAAAAAAAAACCATTACTTATAGTGAAAACCACCCTTGAATGATGGGATAGTAGACTAAAAGCTTTAGGAATCCAAAGTACAACATATAATAGTACCCTGTATCAAGATTGATGCAAAACAAGTGAAGTTTGACCTTAAAGGCCCTGACACACCAACCTGATTTTGGGAGTCAGAGGCCGTCAGAGGCAGTCGGGCATTCGCGGCGCCCTACTCAGGTTGGTGTGTCCCGCACCGTCGTCTCTTTACGGCAAATTTTCACACCTCCCGCGGCCGATTCAACATTTTGAAACGGTAGACAGTTGGCCAAAGAAAGTCGGCCAAAGAAATCACTCTGATTGTCTGTTCAGCTTAGCGAATCAGTGCATGAGAAGCGAAGCGGAAGTGAGGGACCAAAACAAACGATTAAGAAGGCACACACAGACAGACAGAGCTACTGTCTACCACTGTTCATTGTTCATTTACCTATTGTGAGCATCACAGCAAGAAGTGGCCATTATTCAGATGGGTGTTTCTGTCTGCCCCTCTATTCTTTCTCCCATTATCCTCCACAATCTGCCTAGAAGTATTTTAACGTTGTAGCTGTTCAAGATGGTCATTTTAAAATGTGTTAAAAATATACTGGTAGTAGTTAAACCAATAATAATGTACGGCTGCAACTGACAGTTATGTAGGCACATTTTTTATTTTTTATTAACACTGTGTGATTAAAAGAATAAACACAAATAGCAGGATAGGCAATACAAAACTTTATTTCGTACCTTGATACTACAGCCATTGATAACACAGCATTAGACATATTTGGCAAACTCTTTTTTTTATTGTATTACACACTATTTTTATCGTATTGTATCGAATACACACTACCAGCGGTGGACTGGGACTACAAATCAGCCCGGGACTCTCGACCGGCCCACCTCGGTACCGCAAGTAATCACCGCTAGTAAATTGTCAACGGGGGGGGGGGAGTGCTAGTGCTAGGGATTGCGCCCCTGCACACTACCGCTGCCTGCTGGTAAGGACAGTTATTGCCACTCGTCGACTGAAGTCTTTGCGGTGTGTTCGTAGGCGGGCAGCGTAGGCCAAGCCCCCAGGAAGTGCGCCGGACTCAGATGAAAATATTCGTGGTGGCCAAACGGCGGTACTACACTTCCTTTTGGTTGCCAGGCCCGGAAACACTTTTTCCCATTGACTTACATGGGGAAAGAGTGGTCTGTAAATCGTTGGAAATTTTTTTTTAAACTAAATAAACTACCCAGTATGAACACTTGTATAGCCCTTATTAAAAACATTCGTTCCTCAAGTTGTAAAAATGTGCTAATAACGTTATTCTGTGAGTTATTTCCCTCTGCATTATGAACGCGCATCTAACCCACGGGACCGCGCCGCCCGGCACGTTCATGTTACGTGTTCAGCACTACATGAGTTTATCTTTACCCATGGATGCACAATAAGAACGGACCCATATCGCCTTACTGCCAGCCCACGGAGCTGTAATAATGGATATATTGCACATGTTTGCTGTAATTCATCATTTGTAAAATATTATACTACATGGGCTGTATTATTAAATCTTGTACCGTAAATGTTGTATTAAATAAAGTTAATATTACCGACGTAGATTAACGTCCCTGTAGCTTCTTATTGCACTTCTTACCAGCAGCTTATTGCACTGTATATATATATATACATATATATATACACATATATATATATATATATATATATACGTATATATATATATATATACATATATATACACATATATATATATATACATATGTATATATATACATATATATACACACATATATATATATACATATGTATATATACATATATACATATACATACATATATACATATATATATATACATATACATATACATATACATATATATACATATATATATATACATAAGTAGTTATATTCATCCCGCTTTCATCACATTAGTATGCATAAAAACCGGACAGGTCACAC